TTAAGACAGGGTCTCAGGTATCTCAGGCTGGTTAAACTCACTATATAGATGAGGATGGCCCAGATCCTCTAATATGTCTGCCTCAACCCCTGAAACGTAATTTAGAAAATCAAGGGAGCACTGTCTTTGCATTCTCTACTCAAAGTTAAATGAAAACAGTATCTTCTAATTAACGGGGGACACACAAAGACAGGGACTATGGCTTTTTACCTCTGTGGCAAATAAAATACTCAATATGGAATAAACAATCAGTAAATATTTTTTTAGTAAACTAATGATCCATCACACTGGCTTAGTGTGGAGAAGACATTGGTGGCTGTAGGTACTGATTCAAATGAGTTTAACCAAAGTCAATGGAAGTTAGTATTCAAAGCTCCCTAAATATATCCTTTCAGAAGATATTTTAAAGGGCCAGCCATGGTGACGTTTCAAATCTCAGCTCTGGAGGGACTGAAGCAAAGAGATCCTGGCTAGCCTGAACAAAGTAGTGAGACCCTGGTTTTAGAACAAAACAAAATAAAATGCCACAGAGGAGATCATGGAGTTTGCCAGCTCAGCCTGGATCAGAAAATGTGAGTAAAAATAAAAAGAATGACAGAGTTTCAGAAGAGATGAAATGCTTATGACCAATATTTAAATAGTGTTGGAGAATATAAAAGAAACTGTGTGCATTAGAGAAATTGGTGAAGAGATATGTAAATAAACTAAATAAAATATTCCAATGCTCTTTGTCTGGCAATTTGAAGGGGTAAGAGTTGGCAGAAATGAATAATTGACCTTATCAGAAAGAAAGAAAGAAAGAAAGAAAGAAAGAAGGAAAGAAAGAAAGAAAGAAAGAAAGAAAGGAAGGAAGGAAGGAAGGAAGGAAGAAAGGAAGAAAGAAGAAAAGAAAAAAGAAAAAGAAAGAAATTCTGTATAACTGTCCCTTTAAATGTATATGATATTCAATGGAAGAAGCATACATATATTGTGATATTTAAAATGACCTTAGGTTTCTTCCACTCTGAAGTAAGTTGATTTGCAAGAAACTTAGAATTTTTTAAGCAAAATGTCATCATTATTTTTCTTCAGCCTTCTAATAAACATGATTTCCAGAATGCTTTTCTTTTTCTTTTACTTTTTTCTTTCCTCCTCCTCCTCCTTCTCTTCTTCCTCCTCCACTTCCTCCTCCTTCTATTGGAGGAGCTGCCATATTCTGATGGTGTTCTTTAAATTAAACTTGTTGATTTTTTTTTTCATAAAAACCACACACACATATCATAGTGCTCTCTGGAATATTAATCACATGTTCAAAAGGACTCCTAAGCAAGCACACTGCATGAAGTCTCCATCAATTAAGGAGCAAAGGTCTAACTAGTGTTTCCCTCCCCACCACATTCGAGACATTTAAACAGGAATGAATACACAATACACACCCAGTGAAAATAGCATGCACAGCTCTATCCACGCAATTGAGGATGGCAGGACCCAGATGATGTGTCTAGAGAAGACTGTGCAAATGCCCGAGGAAAATATAAGCTGATGAATGCAGGTTTCAGTTCTTTCTACGTTTGTATCTTAAGCTTGCAATTTGTCCTTTTTCGTTATACACAAATAAAATATAGATGAATCCCTAAATGGTGTGTTTATCTCTGTCAGATTACAATGTAAGCTGCTCACCAAGATATAATTTACAAATAACTTTTAAAAACACAATATAAAACTGAGCAGAGTGGGGTGAGCGGAAAGAAAGCACTTCCTTTGCTTTTCTTATTTTCACACTCGGCCCATAAGGGCTGCTATGGAAAAGGAAACATTTGGTGCTCTCTACATTATAGAAAACGTTTTCAATGTACATTCTGAGCTAAGGAAGACTCACGATTTTTTAAATTTACTTTTTGGCTGTAACACAGTTTCCAAAATGCAGTATTCTTTCTAGTAAGCATGAATAGCACTCATATTTTTAGAAAGAGGAAAAAAAGAAACAAACTCCGTTTTGTGTCTTGAGGAATCATGCTTCTCTGGGAGAAATAAACAGATTCTTTGGTGTGTGTACCTAGGTGTGTCTAGAAGGGCTGGAAGAAGCCTGCTAAGGCTGAGAGGCCGCGTGCATGGCTGTCTACTCACATGCCTTCTACTTCCACACTTGCTCACTCCTTTTGCACACACCACCAAAAGTGTGTTGTTCTCCTGAAAAGTAAGCTTAAAAATCATCCACTTGAAAACCGGAATACGCACAGCTAAAATAGTTGGAAATTTGGTGAGATTTGGAAACAGCTTCAATCCACGGGTCTTTCAGTGAACCTCTTTTCTCGAGTTCTGTTTTATTCATTTTTGATGGGTTCAAAGTTTATAGAACTTCAAAACTCTTGTGACTGGTTTTTAGCCCATTTTATTTTAGAGACAGGGGTTTTTCTATGTGGCCCAAAATGTCCTGGAACTTAGGTTGACCCTCATGTCTTATCCTATCTAGTCCTGGAGTACATGTATGCATCACTAGTTTCAGTTTGCCTGCAGTGTACATAAGGTCCTTTGGCCTGCTTCCTTTTGGAAGGAGATCAGTCAAAGATGTGGTAACAAGGGTCTATAGTTGAAACATTCTCTCTCTTGTACTAATGATATATTTCTTTTCTCCTTCAGCATCTCTGAAAATACTGGCAACCTTACGTGCTCCTATAGCAGAAACATAAATTCACCTACTGATTTTATTTTTTTGTTTTTTTTGAGACAGAGTTTCTCTGTGTAGTTCTGGCTGTCCTAGAACTCACTCTGTAGACCAGGCTGGCCTCGAACTCAGAAATCCACCTGTCTCTACACCTACTGATTCTTTTATTATTATTATTATTATTATTATTATTATTTTAATGAATGAATGAATGAATGAATGAATGAATGATTTTTTTTGTTGTTGTTTTTCGAGACAGGGTTTCTCTGTGTAGCTCTGACTGTCCTGGAACTCACTCTGTAGACCAGACTGGCCTCGAATTCAGAAATCCGCCTGCCTCTGCCTCCCAAGTCCATGCAAAGACATGCGCCACCACCGCCCAGCTCACCTACTGATTCTTAAATACCTCCAGCCCTTTTGAACGATTCTTTCCTAGGAAGAATACAGAATGTTTCATCAAATAAAGAGTTTAAAAATGATAATAGTAGTAATACTCCACTACCATCACAAACAACAAAACAGCAGCAAACTCTAATATCTCAGTTGTTTCTGACTTTGCACCCATTTCTCACACTAAGGAGCAGGCATTCAGTCATTTCTAAGTTTCTATCATTTTTTGTTATTTTGAGAAAGGGTCCTTTGTACCTTAGTGTGGCCTCAAACCTCCTATGCAGCTGAGGATGGCCTTGAAAGAGCCTCCTGCCTCCACCATCATGCTAGGTTTAATGCAGTGCTAGGAATCAAACCTCAGGCTTCATGCATGTTATGCAAGCTCCCTACCAATATAGCTGTATCCCCAAACCTAGATTTCTAACTGCCTTTTTGTCCACTACATTTTGCCTTGGTCTTCCTGGGACAGAAAGGCCATCTTTTCCATCCTGGACCTTTCTGAACCACTCCTTTCCCTGTCTTTTTTTAAAATGAGGAACCCTAGAATTTTGTGAAATTTTTTCTATTTTTTTCATCTTGCATCGTTTAGAAAATACACACAGCAAAAATTTGCACTTGTCTGTTTTCTCTTTGTGGTTTGGACATTTTCATTAAACTGCCTTGTAGGTCAGCAAAGAAATATCAAGGCTAGAGGACTGCTATCCCCAGAACCTTTGTGCTGGCTGCTTGGTCTCCTCTCCACAGGATGAATGAGCTGTGGCCAACACATCCACACATCCTACCCTTGACAGGAAGATAAAGGCCTGTTCACTGATGGTCTCTTCGATTGTCTAAACCACAGGTCCGTGGTTTCATGTGCATTTCTCAAAAGAAGTATTGAGCAAAGGAAATCAACTAGGTTAAGTAATGCACAACCCGGCCTACAAACTGGTATTTTCACAAGCTAGTTTTTAGAAAAAAAAAAAAAAAGTTCCTCCTATGGACATTTGCTTCGTATGTTTCAGCCTAGGTGAGCTAGTGGGTGAGCTAGTGGTCTTAAATATTGCTGTATTTGGCTTAATAAACCTGCAACCTTCATAAATAACAGAGCTATCTGTGAAGGAGCTTCGCGTACCTTCATTTTACTGTTAAAAACTGATAGCTCATTTTTTTCCTCTCTTTCTACATGTTGTGGCCTGGACAGAACAAGGGCTTTGCTTGTACCATCAATTAAATATGCAGCTCACATGCCTGAAGATTAGGGAGGACTCAAGCCCTTCAGGTCAGCCGATGGTTATCTGGCCCAGATTTCACCTGTCCTGCATTTGTCCTCTAAGCCCAGGCATTCCTTATTAGGATTTCACCGAGTTCAAATCATTGTTTCATGGTAAACGTGTTTACTTTTAAGCTGATTTTAAATATTGAGCTTGATTTGCAAGCTGGCCACTAGACAAAGGCAATTTCTAAATGCCCTTCCAAAGTAAACACTAAAACGTGATCTTTATTTTTATCTTTCAGGATTGCCCTAAATTCCACTCGTTCAACACCAGATAGTTCGTTAGCCAAGTTCATTTTGATACCTAATGCTGATAGGCTGAACCACCACCTTCTCTTTTGAGTGATATGCAATAAATCCATTGTTGGCTTATTCATAACAGGTTCTAACTACATGTAGAACCATAGCCCTCTGGCCATGTCCCTGCCCCTGCCCCCCACCCCTTCATTCCACAGCCTCCTTCTTCCACAGTGTTGGCTGTACCAATTTCAAATATTTTCATTGAATCTTTTATGTAACCCATTTAGGAACTCAACAATCAGTGATCATTTGCTATAGACGAGGGATTTCCCATACCTGGACTAACCCAGAGCTGTGATGCCAAGGTAGTTTATGTTTGTCACTGCTATGTCCCAGTGACCAAGAGGCAGTTTTGCAAAAGTTTTATCGCCCATTTAAACTACTCCTTCCAGATACCAAACAGACACACCATCCAGGTTTTAAAACTTTATTTGCATATTAAAAAAATTGTGCATTCCAATAATTAAAATTGTTTGAACAAAAAAAAATGGCACTCTGATTAAACTGCATTTTACATCCTGCAGGACATCTTGGACCATCTTGAATTTTACTCTCTATTTCACCATCTCCCACCCAGCTTTTTCCTTCATCAACATGCAAGTTCTTTTCCCTCTCTGCCAGCCAGACCAGCAGATGGGCGGGAGAGGCAGGGGAGGCCTTCCTGCTCAGTAGTTCTGATTCTTTGATGTGAAAGGGGCAGCACAGTCATTTAAACTTGATCCAACCTCTTTGCATCTTACAAAGTTAAACAGCTAAAAGAAGTAAAATAAGAAGGCAATGCTTGTGGAATGTACAGTGCATATTGGCGGCGCTCGCCTCATTACGATTCGCCAGCTTGCTTCTCTTGTTCAATTGCTGTGAAGAAAAAAAAAAAAGGCTTAGAGCACTCTATAAAATGACGCGATTTTCATTTAAAAATCTCTTTTCGTATTATAAAAATTCTAGAAAGATACGCAGCAGCCAGCTGAGCAAGACATACTAAACAGAAATACAGTTACCCAATAAATGTATTTGCATAATATGGAATATGAAATATTCCATTATTAAATCACTAAAGCCCGGTGCTTGTTGGCTGCAAAACAGTTTTTAATTAACCTTTGCAGGCCATATTCATCATCATCAAACTGTCGACTCCTCCCCCGCACCACCACCCCCATCCTCCCCGCTGCCCCTCCCTTCCTCCTCCCGGCTGCTGCTCCCGCTCTGCTCCGCTCCCGCCCAGCCTGTTCTGAAAATGGGTGGGGGCGAACAGCTTACTTTCTTTTGAAGGCAGAGGATTTTTCTCTTGCGTTTCTGTCTTCTTCAATTTCGACTTATCGAATTTCTCGATCTCAGCCATATCGGGTTTGTCAGACATGGTTGCTGGAAGGAGCTGCAGGTACAAAAGCCAAGACCAAAGCTAAGAAAGAGCCACCCACCCTCACCTCTCCCAGTTCTGAAAGCACCCTCCCCCCAACCCCCCGCCCTGAAACCCCAAAGCCCGAAATACTATTGCCTCCCGGTACTTTCCTAGTCTTTTCCTCGCTAAAGACCTTCCTCTCTCTATAGAAAAAAATCTCCCCCCCTAATATTCCCAAAGTGAAGAATCAAAGATCGAAGGTGGAAAAAAATAGTCAAAGGTGAGTATTTCCGTATAGTAAAATTCATCATTGTGGAATGTTAACATTGTAGTGTTGAAAAATTAAAATCGGGAAAGAACGAAGCCACTTCCAGTTTAAAGGGGAAAAGTCTAGTAAAATCTCTTAAAATCGAGACAAGGTCGCAAAACGCATCTATGTTTTCTACAAGGGCTTGCTCTCCAAAAGATGCCAGGCGGTCCAGCTTTCTCCTCCGCACAAAGGCGGGGGAGCTGATGCCGCCAGCTGCCGACCACCGCCCTACTCGCTTCCTCTCCTCTCTCTAGCTCAACAATGCAGCCTCTCCGCACACAAAGCTGCCTCCCCACTTCTCGCAAATGCATCTTGATCTGCGTGCAGGGGCCATTTGACTGCCTTTGCATACATTCATCTGCAAGGGCTTCCCAATTTTCACGCTAAAGGCCAGGAAGGTTAAACCTGCCACAGATAGCAGTCCTCGAACCCATCAGGCGTTTAAGGGAGCGTTTGAACAAAGGCTCTTTCTATTTCTGAATAATTACAGCCAGCTAGGCAAGGGAAAATACTTCGGAGAGAGGGTCGGGGAGAAAAAATAATTCACCTCTAAGCTGCGCAGCAAAATGCCCGATTTTGTGGGGTTTTCTTTTTCTTAATCAAGTTCCCCCCTCCCCGTTACTCAGCATCTGGAAGAGTTTAGCATCCCCTCCAGTTCACCGAAATAACCTTGCCTGGAAGTACCCCTTGGACTAGGCTTTAAGGATGAGGAAGATAAGGGGCAAGCGCCGTGGCGGGACAGGTAGGGAAGATCAGAAGGAAGGGGCCCTGGGGCTTACCCGAGCGAGCTGTGCGAACAAGGAGAGTCCGATCTGCTCAGAGGCTGCTGCCGATTGTCGGGAGGGGCGCGGCGAGCGCCGCTATATGTGCGCTCCTATGCAAATCAGGTGATGTCACTCGCAGTCCCGCTTAACTCCTTCGCGCCGCGTCTCCGGAAGGGCGTTCAGAGGCCTATCGGACCCTCTCCCAACCCCCACATCCCCATCCACCGGGACCCTTGAACCACATAGATGGCGGAACTAGAAAAGGAACAAACGCCTTCAAAATGCTTCCCCCTCCCCATTTGACGTCTATTTTATTATCGTGAACTTTTGCAACAGCCGCCCAAACCTGTTCTTAAGGTTTAATGCGTGATAACTAAGAGCCTGAGTGACACCGAAGGGGACAGGCATTTCTTTACTTAGAAACCGGCTTTGTCTGCAGCCAACGCCCCCAGGATAGGGTGCGGTGTCCCTCATACAAGGGCTGCTGGGGTCTGAGTCCTATGACTCAGCTTTCAGACCAGTGGACCGCATTTGCCGCACCCGGCCCTCTTTGTCTCCCTCGCTTGTCTCCCCCTTTGATTTGAGAGGGTGATAAAGGATCCTTGAGTGGATTTTTAAAAGAAAAGTTTTAGCATGGTAACGTCTATATTGTTTGCTATAATTTCCGTGAGCAATCGAGTCAAGTAACTAACGTTTCCTAGGGGTAAGGTGATTGGGAGTTTTATAGAGAACACAGCCTGCCCTTTAAAAATTAAGTCTAATTCAACTTCTGCTACTGACCAACAATAAGGAAGTTAATTTTCCTTTTCTTATTTTCATCATTTAAAAGTGATTGGTAATGAGAGCCAAGGATCCCCGAAGATCACAAGTCCATTAGCTCTGTCTCAGGATTGAAACTGAAGTGTGAACTAGGTTTGAAAGGGAAGGTTTTCTACAGCCCATGTGGACGATTCAGGTAGAGAGGTGCCTGTTTCAAAATGGCACCTCAGTCGGTGAGTACCAGGGACCCACTTGCTACTCAAAAGTAATTACAGGTACCAAGCTTGTGCCTGCAAGTGTCAGGTGATAGGAGGAAGCTACGTAGGGCATAAAAAGCCATCGTTGGGATTATTTCTGAGACACAGAGAACCATAAAACATTCCTTCTCCTTTTCTGTGCCCTGGAGGGATGTTTCCAGAAAGCCTTTGCTAAGCATTTTTATGACAGAGGCTGTGCCTCTCTGGTAATGAGTCAAGTGTTATTAGGGACCCTAAACTGCCACTGCTGGAGCAGCTTGGACTTCCCCATTTCTTCGCCTACTTCCCTTTTACTTGGGAGGAAGGAGACAGGGTAGGCAGGAGCAGGTGACCCATGTGGTTCCCCAGTTAATGCTCTGCTTGGAAGACTGCCTTTCTGCCCTTTAAATGGGGCCCTGGACCTGTTTGAGCGTGCATTAGATGTCACCTCTCTGGTAACACATCCCCCTCTCCCCATGTTCACTTGGAGGGAGTTCACTGCATTGTTAAAACACAGAACAGATCTTGCAGGGTGCATTCCTGACCTCTTCTGCTTGGCAGCTGCAGTTACACTGACACCATTTTGGTGGGTCATTGAATTCCATGTCCCTTCACTTAGCCGTCCCTGTCTCCGAGTCTTATTCCTATGACAAAGGAATGCTATAGCCTTGACCCTGGTTGCCTGTTTGCCTTAGGAAAGATTAGCCCTTACAGAAGTTATGCGGCCAGAGGAGACTGAAGAGTGGAATCTGTAAACATCTAGAGTCTTCTACTTTCGTAACAGCGTAGCAGGCAGATTATTTTAGCTGCTGACTGAAAAAGAGCAGATGGGCTGTAACAGAGAAAACAACTTGCCCTGGGAACTGAGTCCTCTGTATATGGGCTTGACTTACCCACTGGACAGAAAAATTAGAAAAGAAAGGGTGATACAGATAAAATGAAGTGCAAACAAAAGGGATCTTCCTAAAAGTGTCATGAGGGGCTCCTCGTGGCGAGCATTCTTTTTCTTAACTCTTCTCTGTAAAGTGGCCAAGTGGTGATAAGTAGTGGTAGGAGTTGTGGGAAGATTGTTCTTGGGACCAAACTTTACAATGGCGAGCACTGTGTCCTGTTCTTACTTAAAACAGAAAGTTGAGAAGAAAAGAATAAATGTTTTCGTGTTTGCCATTAGCAAAAGCCTCAAGTAATTTGGCATTTCACCCCTTATAAAGGGAAATGTATATATTTCTTAATATATTTCTACATAATTAATAAGCATCTAGAGTTTTCTACTTTCCTAACAGCGTAGCAGGTAGATTATTTTAGCTGCTGACTGAAAAAGAGCAGACAGGCTGTAAGAGAGAAGCAACTTGCTATTATTTACTTATAATTTATTACTTACTAATAAATTATCAGTGAAAATGAGATATTTTGTGAGATTTTTTTTTTAGCCAATAAAAATAACTCACTTGGCAGAGCACTTGCCTAGACTGTACCAAGCCCTAGGTTCAATCTCTAGTGTGACATAAAAGAGGCAAGGTATGACACACCTGAAATGCCACCACTCAGAATGTAGAGGCAAGAGGATCAGGAATTCAAAATCATCCAGAGTGAGTTTGAGGCCAGCCTGGGTAATAAACTAGTGTGTTTCCTGACACCTAGAAGATAGTATTTGCTCAATTAACCATGGATCACACTGCTTCAGTTGATTCTCAGTACTTGAAGTCAGTTTCTTAACTCCAATAACTGGTTTACATCTCAGACAGTTGAATCTACTTAGAATTAATATTCCAGATGTCAGGGATAATTGCTGCTTCAGGGAAGGAAGCATTTATAAGTAGATTAGCATATACTGGGCACAATAACCACTGAGGTGGGAGTTTTCAATTCCAATTAAAGGGACAAAGACAAAGATGTGAAGAGGCATTTTTTTTTCTTTCAGAGGCCCTGGTCCCTCCAGCTGCATGGTGGATTCTGTTCTCCTGGCCTTCCAGTAAAAGGCAAGCAAAGAGCCCACTTCACAACCGTCTTGCCTCTCTCAGCTCACAGGCCATGGCACCCTGTGAGAAATGTGCCAACAAAGTGGCCCCTACCTGTCGAAGCTCATGCCCCCATGGAACCAGGAAGTGAGTGGGGTGAGCAGGCACTTTGTTTTCTTTTGCTTTCCAGTGTGGGCCTGGGCCAAAATTGTGTGTATTTCCAATGATGGAGTGACAGCCCACAGAAGTCTGAGCTCATGAAAATGAGTCCTATGATCTTGAACTTTTTAGTTTTGGCCAGAGTACTAATCAGAAGGAAAAAGAGGAGGAGCCTGGGAACAGGAACTATGCAAGGGCTCTCTGCTCTTTGCTTGTTCAAACCCCACTCCTTTTGTCTGAATTCAGGGCCTCCTACCATCTGCCTCCACAGGCCTGCAGCCCACACTCCCCTGGGGTTCCTACAATTGCCACCTTTCCTTCAAAGTCTCCCGTACAGATGACTCCGCCCCCTTATACTCTGGAGAAGCTAAATCCCCTAGAGCAGCCTGGAGTCCCTTAGTAACATTAGATGAAAAGGACAAAGGAGGGAAGCGATCTTCAAAATCTAGTCCTAGCTAGATTTTGTACCTCCCTGAAGCCTTTGCATATAGAGTAGGAATCAATTGTCATCCTACGCACTGGGTACTGACTTCCTTATTTTACTGCAAAAGAAACTGAGGCTCATAGGATTTAAGCAACTTTCTCTAAAGCAGACAATCCCGTTTAAGTCTGTCCTTCCTTCGACTCCTTCCACTAGGTTCCCTGAAAGAGACCCTTCTCCAACATTCTCTAGTATTCTCACCCATGGCAGCTCCACGTTGTGGCTCCAGTACGGTGGAACAAAGGGCTCCCCCTGCCAGTGTGAGAAAAAATGAGTGGAGGAAAACAGGAAAGCACAGACAAAACCAAGAGCCCTCCGCCCCCCCCACCCTGCCCCGTGCATGTGCAGCATTGCTAATTGCCCTGTCCTCTCCATTGATCTGAAGGAATTTCTGCAGCTCTGAGTTTGCCTCTACAACATCCCCTCCAAGTGGTTGTTCAGCCTCCAAATAGCCAGTTCAAAAATGCAGAATCTTTGAGTCTTGCAGAGGGCAGTGAGTAAATTTGGTTTGGCAAGGGCCTTGCATGGGAGGAAAAACGGTGGCAGGAAATGTCGTTGAAAGGAAGGTAGGTAACAGGCTGAAGAATAATACTATTTGCAAGCATGGCCGTAAGAACAGGGGTAAGAGCCAGCATTTTCTGACTGTCTGCAGTATCCTGAGAGCTCTCCCTGCAGTATCCCAGAAGACCTGCTAAGGAGGCCTGTTATTTTCCTCGATTTGTAGATAAGGGAGTTACAGAGAAATTAACGAACCCACTAGGCCAAGATCGTACAGCAACCCTAGTGATGTGGTCGGGACTCAGAGCAGTTAGTTACCTTAGAAATGGCCTCATTTAAATACTACGTTTGTCTAGCATCCTAAGGTTTTCAGATTGGTTATGTAGACAAGCTAGGAAAAAAGACAAACAGACATTCCTATGTCTATAAATCTTCCAACTTAGTGTGCTTAAGCCTTTTTGTATAGGGCTCAGGAGTCGCTCATCCTCCTGGGTTTAGTTCTCAGTACTCCAAAACAAATAAAAAATAACACACTTCAAAATATAGATAACGGTTGGAGAGATGGCTCAGCAGTTAAGAGCACTGGTTTTTCCAGAAGACCTGGGTTTGATTCCCAGTACCCACATGGTGACTCACAATTGTAACTCCAGTCTCCGGGAATCTGACACCCTCTTCTGACTTCTGGTAACAGACACATCCATGGTTCACAGACATACTTGAAATGTAAATAATTAAATAATTGACTATAGGTACTATAAGCTAACAGTGGCATCATATGCTTGAGATTCCAGCCATTGGAATTGGAGGCAAGAAGATTGTACATTAAAGGTCATGCTCAGCTATGGGTATGAAAACTTTGTTTTTGTTTTACGTTCTTGTTGTTTTATTTTTTTCCTCATGGCGCTGTGATTCCAACTCTGTGCCTTACACGTGCTAGGCAGCATTCTACCACTAAACTTCATGCTCATTCTTGGCAAACCTTTTCTGTGAAATATACATCCCAAGGCTGATACATTCAG